ACGGTGACAACGGACATTGTGCGAGCCCAAGGAGCTTGCCTCTCTATAAGAAAAAAAAGGGGGGGCCTTCCTCTATCGGGAAAAGGGCGGTAAGTAAAGCTATGCGTGTATGCCTTTTTTAGATGCGGAAGCATCTTATACTCGCGCCTTGTAGTGCGCCGTCCGCACCGCTTCTCGAACATTCGACAGCTGACGCGCGCGCATGCGCCGTCGCCCACTCTTCCACCATCTGTGCATCCCTTCCTCCTCTACACACCGCGCGCGCTTCACTCCTCCACCATCTGTGCACCCTTCCTCCTCTACACACCGCGTTCGACATCTACAATTCTCCTGATTCTCCAGTGGACGCGCATGTGGCGTCGCGCTTCGAGAACATTCAACAGCTGACAGTGCATGCGCCGTCGTGCTGTATATATACTCAAGGTCGGCGCTCTCTCGCTCAGTTGCCGCTCGTCGGTTGGTTTGTACGGCGCGTCGACGTCCAAGGTCGCGGTGAAATGAATTCCAACGAATCCAGAAACACAATGATCGACGTCCCTTCGACCAGCGCCGCCCTTTCGCATACGTGTGTACGTGTTCACTCATTCAACACCCTCTCCTACAACCACGTTAACCAATTTAGCCATCGACCCAAGTAAGTCGCAATTTAACACCCCATTTCACAACCACGTTAACCAATTTAGCCATCGACCCAAGTAAGTCGCACTTTAACACCCCGTTAACCAATTATATGCTCCGCATCCTCCTCAGTGTTCCCCCGAGGGAAGCTGCGGGCAATTTTTTCCTTAATGAGGTCATACGCTCACGCGTGCGCGCGCTTCTCTCGCAGCAGAGAGATTTGTACGCCTTGGGCTTTCACCGGAATGATTCTGTTGTAGTTACCGGGCGCACCAAGGTTACTGCACTCGCTGCGCAATCTCCGTTTGCGAAAGGGGCGCGCTTTTTGAAAAAATACACGGTGAACTAACAACTGAGACGCTTATTTGTGTTCATCTGTGCCCGAGTACGTTTCGTGCGTCATTTGTGCGCGAGAAACCCGGGGCATGTTCCTGTCCGCTTGTCATTCTTCACATGACTTTCCAATTTGTTGCTATCGCATCATCGCTTCGCTTTTGTGGTAAAGCTGCGACTTTTTTTTTTCAGTTTTCCACCACTTTTAAAATGGCCGAAACTCTCGTTTTTTTTCGGTATTGCACTTTTTTTAGTATTGCACTAATTGCGAAATTGGTCCGTGCTCGCATTTTTTTTCAGTATTGCGCTAGTTTGAAATTGTTTTTCTATTTCTCTACTTGCAGAATTGTCCAGAGCTCACTTTTTTCAGTGTGGCCTACTGTGTAATTGGCCCGCGCTCAGTTTTTTTTTATTGCACTACTTGTGAAATTGACCCGGGCTCGCATTTCTTTTTCGAGATTTCACTACTGTGGATTTTGCTTACGTTCACTCACATTTTTAGGAGCTTGTTTGGCAAGCTTCTTATGCTCGCGCCTATTGCCCGGCGTCGGCGTGTACGCTGCTGGACGGGCCCACGCTCACGCCTGGGATAGCTATACACTTTTCACCAACTGAAAAAAAATTCGCAGGCTTCTCGCTTCAGAACTTTGCCGTAGAAAAAAAAATTGTCAGGCCATACGCGTTGTGAATGCTGATGATGGAGTGAAGCAAGACCCTATGGTTCATAATGTCAACGTTGAAGTCGCCGAGCAGTACAAAAGCCGAACGAATACATAGGTGGACTGAGAGACAGTGTACAGTTTATTTTTAAACCGTATGCGCACTATGAACGATCTGTGTATGGTATATGTAACACCTGTGTTTCGGTCCGATGGTTAGCTATACGACGACGGTGACAACGGACATTGTGCGAGCCCAAGGAACTTGCCTCTCTAAGAAGATTCGAATCCCGGCTGCGGCGGCTGCATTTCCGATGGAGGCGGAAATGTTGTAGGCCCGTGTGCTCAGATTTGGGTGCACGTTAAAGAACCCCAGGTGGTCGACATTTCCGGAGCCCTCCACTACGGCGTCTCTCATAATCATATGGTGGTTTTGGGACGTTAAACCCCACATATCAATCAATATCATCTCTATAAGAAAAAAAGAGGCCTTCCTCTATCGGGAAAAGGGCGGTAAGTAAAGCTATGCGTGTATGCCTTTTTTCCTTGAATCACATTGCGCACTGCTCTTTCCTAAATGTTTTCTTGTGCCATGTCAAGCATTGAACCGTCATCTGTACATGTGCCTTCTGGGGCCCCGAAGAAATAGCGTCAAGGGCACTGCGCATGCGCAAAAGCCAAACTGCGTTTGGGATTTGGGTTGGAGACGCTATTTCCCGAATTTAGCGGGAGCCCCAAAGCCTGCGCCGAAATTTTTCGGTCGCACAGACGTGACGGTACCCACTGAAGTGACGGCTCTCGGCCAAGCTAGTGACATAGAATAGGAGGAGTGTCCAAAGCCCCGTAGACCCTATTCGAAAACACTCCTGCTTGGCCCAAAGCGTCTGTATACGCAAAACGGCTTTGCCCAAACTTTTGGGGCCCCTATTCGAAAACTCCCTGTCACCCGACGAGGTCGGTTCTGTGTAATGCTAATTGTGAGCGTCTGTGTTTTGATTTTGCGATAAGTGGAGGCAAATGCTTTTGCTTCGGCGGCGCGCACCTCTGAAGCCTGGCGTCGACGACATTGGAGGGTAATAGCTGAGCGGCTGAGCGGGCCCAGCGAGCGAGTGGAATGCAAGCTGCGCATGCGTGGCACGCTGAGCGTGCCAGTGAATGCCCCTCGGCGGAGCGTGCGAGCGTTCTCCAGGCAAACCCTCTGCTCTATCGACAGTAACTTCAACTACAACTAGTACACCGTGTTCAACAGGTGGCGCATCAATGCGTTCCGCTGTAGGCTGAGACTATATCGTATACTATAGGTACATGCTTTGCATCAAGGTAATGCCGTGAGTAGCGTGACTGGCGGGGACAATTTTGTGCAGCCTATTGCACATGAACTGCCGCGGAGAGCGTAGCCCGCCTGCCACGCTAAAACCGGGAGACCGCGGAAGGCAGCGCGTGGGCGCGTTCCACAACAATATAGATGCACGGTGGCGCGCACTACTGTGGCGCCGCGGTGGCCACTGTGGAACATGTCGTTTCGCCACCGTCGTTCACTCCTCGCTATCGCTGTATTTCGTCCTCGTTCGCTCTGTCGGTTATGCCGACGCTCACAAAGCAAGAAATTGGGCCACTGCGCTGCAAAAGAATACGAAATGCGCAAAACAGGCTAACTTTTTTTTTTCGAAATGTGGCGTCGCGACTGCAAGAATCGCGCTTGTAAAGGTGGTTTCACCGCAGCATGAGTAGCAGTGCCATGAAACCATCTTTTCAGGCAAGTTGCACATGGCAAAATGGTTTAAAATGCGCATATTCGTTCGTTTCCAATTCTAAAGTTACAGCACCGACCGTACAGAGTGCCGAATATGATAACATCATATCGAATTTTCAAAACATCGAGTTTTACACCCAGCTTATGCAAGACACTTGACGACTGCTGTGTGACTCGAACACGCTTCACGCAATGGAACACTCTAAAAGCAGTTGCTCCAACTTTCGAGTCCCATTTTTGCGACCGAGAAATTATCGTAACCTAAACAAGAGGACCGAACTTTGCAAAAGACTCATCACTCAATAATATTATAAAAGGTTTTTGCATGCCAAAACCACGATACATGAAGCACGCTGTAGAGGAAAGCTTCGGGAATTTCGACCACGAGGGGCTCTTTAACTCGATCGCCTCCCTACCACCGCCGCGGCCGGCATCGAACCCACGAACCTCGGATCAGCATAAAGAACACATAGACCAGACACAAAGACATTTGCAGACACTTAGACTGCGCTTGTCTTCGTGATTGGTCGTTATTGTGCACATTTCGCACATTTTTCCCCCACATTTCTGGTCGTTATTTTGCACATTTCGTAAAAATACACTTACTCACTCAACGAGTTCTAAACTATCATCTACTGGTTCAGATCGAAATGGGATGTCGGCTTGTCCTGCTATAAACTCAGCGTTGAGCTCAGCTTGATTACTATTACATTGATTACAGACTCAAATAAAAAAGTCTTGATAACGCCTGCGAGACTACCTTTGTAGAAGACCTGTGAAGAGCATAGCTATTAAGCTGTAAACATGAATGACGCTTGAACAAAGCTTCCTTAGAGACATCTATTTAATTGTCATGATGTTCTATAGACGTTCATTGGTTCTCATGTTTTCCTGCGAGGACATCCTTTTGTAGACGTTCTTTCATTTTTTTTTCTTGTATCTTATCCTCATGTTAGCCGCAAATACATTTTGTAAGCTTTCATATACTTCCTGTCTTTTCGAAAAAAAAAAAACACCTTGCAGACATTCTTTACAACCAGTGTCTTCAGTACCCTTCTGTAAGGACACTTTGTAGTCGTTTGGTTCCCGAGTTCTTAAATATGAAATTTTCTAGGTGTTCTTTGTTTAGTATGTCTAAATAGGTAAAGGCATTCTACAGACACCCTCAAGTTGTTTTTTAGGCGTCGTTCAGTTCCCATGTTTCACTACAGAAGACATTTTGTAGACGTTTTTCAATTCCCGCGTCGCATGATAACAAGACATTTCACAGAGGTCTTTCACTTTCCGTGCTGTAGACGTCCCGAATAAATTTTCTAGACGTCTTTAGTTCTCATATCTTATGGTGAAAACATTTCGTAAACATCCTGAAGACATTTTGTAGACGCCTTTCGAAGTTGTAATATTCGACGGTGTGTTTACGTCGTTACGGAATTGTCGCACGCTCTATAGCGCAGACAGTCCAGCACGCCGGATCGTCCGCCTGCCTCCCTCGCCCGAAGCAACGCCGTCGCACTGTCGATCTCTGCCCGGCGCCGAAGTGGCGGCGGCTACGGGCGCGCACTCGCGCGGCCGAAACCGCGGTCGGCGGCGCGCGCGGTTCCATCGTTGGGCGGCGCGGCGGGCGGTGAGCAGCGCTAGCGACACGTTCGACACCGCCTCAAATCGAGCAACCGCCGCGACGCGAGGAGAAGCCGACCGAAACGGGGTGGTGGGGGCCACGGAGAACGCGCCTGCGGGTGGTCTAGGAGCGCTGGCGCCGCCGCCGCCATCATGGGCTACGGCGTGAGCCGGCAGTCGGTGTTGCGCGGGGAAGCCGACGCTGAGCTGAGCACGGCGCTGACGCCGCGACAGGCGCAGCTGGTGCGATCCACCTGGGCAGTGCTTTCGCAGGACCTCGCCGGCACCGGGGTGATCGTCTTCAAGCGGTACGTACACCACACACATATCGTCTCTCCCCTTTCTTTTGCCACACACATATCGTCTCTCCCTTTCTTTTGCCACACACAAATCGTCTCTCCCTTTCTTTTGCCTGTGCGCCGCATACGGTAACGCGCTGCCAGCGCACGGTACGTGGTACAGTCGCCGGCCGTGAAGCAATTCTGCCGCTTAAGCAGGAAGTGTTCGCTTTAGGGTGTCTTCGCTTGGGACGAATCCCAATTTCGCCTCGGTCTGGCACCCAGCGCAGTTTGGTCCGTCGCGCGCGCTTAAGTGAATAGTGTGTGCGCGTACCTAAAGAAGCTGAACATTAAACGCTATGTGCTGGATACTCACGCTCAGCGCTTATGGTATATATTGCTAAGGGAGAGACGCAATAAAAATTTAATCCGGACATCAGCGCGACGCGCGTGTTGGGCGTAACGATCGTAGACGTCGCGTCATCCCGAAATATGCGTGCTGTGCGTATACGTTTAATTTTTTTGTTTCACGTCTTGTTGGTTTTTGTTTAAGTAAAAACGAAGCTCGACGCCCAGGACCGATTGTAGACGAAGATTATCGTTCCGCTCGATACACTGACCGATTGCGTGTGCTCGTATTTCTGGCAAATTGAGGTTGAGTGCACTCGCATCAATATTCCGCTTTCTTTTTTTTTTTTCTTCTCGTGCGCGGAACATATGCGCATACGAAAGGAAGTACTCCACCGGTTCTAGATGAACTGCTCGCCAATTTTATTCTCATTTTTTCGTTCTTTAATCTGCCACGAAAGAAATATCTTGAGAGCTACAGGTTATCGGTCTTCATTTATAAAACATTTATGCGGCTGATCTCGTATGTCCAGTAAGCATATTTATGTGCATTATCTCCGGCACACGCCCACCCAGACTCGTGGACCTACTTTTGCGTTACGTGCGGCTTGTGAAACTTTTAGAGAACACAGTCTGTTTGATGCATTAGGGACGACTTCCGGCGGCTCATATGAACAATAGGTGTTAGATATTTAGGATAGAGACTCCTGCTCACCGCGGTGGAGCTGACTCCAGGGTCACGGATTCGATCCCTGCTGCGGTGCTCACATGTCGATGGAGTCGTATAATGCCACTGGTTTACGTGCGAGAAATACGGCAAGGATTTTACAAACTTGCTATTTCATTCCAACTGTTCTAGTGTTCAAACACAGGACTAGCTGCCCACCAGTCTTGAAAGTGTTTCATCGGATCGGCATGCAGCTCACATCGAATCAGTGTCTATAGTCAGCGTCTGATGCCGCCGCTGTATAGCCGGGCACTTTCGATGGGCACGGTTCTCTTGTTCCAAGCGTAATGATGTATTATTTTGTCCCAAAGATACAGGATATTTGCGACAAAGCTATTTTTCCGGTCAAGTTCTATTAAGCAATAACGGTACTAGGACTTGTGCGGTAATGCGCACTCAAGCTGTATGTATTTGTACGTATACTTGTGGATGTGGGTAGGCACAACAGTCAACAGAATAGGTTTTATCTCATAGTACTCATAAAATGCGATGATATATGGGGTTTAACGTCCCAAGCACAACCTGTTAACGTCCCAAGCACAACCTTCTCAAGCACAACCTGTTGCTGTCTCATCCTTCAGATAATTTAAGATATCTGAAAAGACATGCATGACCACTAGTTAAGAAGACATGACCACTAGGAATATATATAAATATATATCGCATAAACCTGCACGTGCAAACTTACGCTATCCCCTCCTGAGCATGCAAAAATGTTTTCCGTTTAGTTTCTCTTTCACACAAAGCGTCCTTTCTCTTGATAGATCTGATGGAGGCGGAAATGTTGTAGGCCCGTGTGCTCAGATTTGGGTGCACGTTAAAGAATTCCAGGTAGTCTAAATTTCCGGAGCCCTCCACTAAGGCGTCTCTCATAATCATATAGTGGTTTTGGGATGTTAAACCCCACATATCAATCAATGTTGATAGATCTGCATTTGCAGCTGTCTTCTGTTCCGTCCGGTGTCTACACGCTTTACAGTCCTTCCTTAATTTCCTTAAGTTCCCCATTATGGTCTTTTATGACCCAAGAATAAGTACACGCTCTTCCCCAGAACTGCGACCGTGCCTGCCATTAATCTGGGCCAGAGGGTCGTTGTTTACGTTGCAAACGTAAGCACCTTTTTTAACTGCTAATGTAAATACGAGGCGTGTTTTTAATTAAAATTGCGCAGTTCCCACTCAGAAGAGCAATGACAAAAAGTTTTTGCGTCTCGTTTTTTTTTTTTCTGCTGCAAAGCTATAACGATCCACTTATCGCGGCTGGGAAGGTCGTTTGCCCCAGTGCGCGAAAATTATTTGAAGATGGTTTTAGAGTGCCCACTCGCAGTTCCGGTTTCAGGGAGCCGAGTGAGGCGGGACCCAGAGCAGTTTTCGTGTGAAAATAGCTGCCTAGGTGAGCACCGTGCGTTGACAACTCTTTACACCGAAGGGTTTATCTATAATCTATGCTATAATCTCCTCTGAGACGTTAGGTACGCGTTAGCCCCCAAAATGCTCTGGCTGGGCAAGGACATCAGCTTTGAAGATGTTTTAATTTTAAATGCGAAGCATTTCTTAGCGAACTTCGGTGACTTTGAGTCTATCTATCTATCTATCTATCTATCTATCTATCTATCTATCTATCTATCTATCTATCTATCTATCTATCTATCTATCTATCTATCTATCTATCTATCCGCTTACGTTTGCGTTCTCTCGTGGGCACCCCCTTAACTTGGCGTGAACCAAAATGAGCATGGGAGGGTAAGATGGTTTGACGAGTATATATGACGCGCTGGTCAGTGCATGAATAATGTCACAATCCAGTCGCGTACGTCATCAAACACTTCCCGCCAGACAGTGGCACATACCCACGGGCGGGCATGTGCCGCTGGTATGAGAGGATGTGCCACAGGTGATTGACACTTAGTAAGTACCCATGGAGGAACGACGAGAACACACATGGGCAATTTTAACGCGCGAGTGTTAAGAAATACCCGACATTGGTAGCGTCGACCTGACGAATGCAAAGAATAAATGTCAGGGTCCCAGCTGGAATCAAACCCAAGCATTCTGCGTGGCAATGAAGCATTTTACCACAGAGCTATGCTAGGTCTTGGAACTATTTTTCAAATAGATGCTATTCTTCGTGAAACGTCAGTAGTGGTTGCAGTGATGCCTACCCAATTTTATAAACATTACATATACATCCTTTGATACAGCCCTGTATCCTTTGATACAGCCCTCACGTCGGGTTAAGGTTAACTGTGGTTTGTTGTCATGCGCTGAAGTTCATTTATATAGCAGTGTCCAGCACCAGCATCAGCGCTTCATGTAAGCTTCTGGTGTTGCAAATACGCATGTCCCAGTTGTCAACGTTGCGCACGTGCAAACAACTGGTTTTATAAACATCTGCAACTCTTCAACATATCTGTGTGTGCAACATTTGTACATATATTTACGCGTTATTTCATGACGCGTTGCTCAATAAAAGAATCGCAACACGGTCACCGTCCCTCCGCATGCTTCGCATAACGTCGACTTCCAGGTACGTGGGACATCATGATTTCTGTGTCGTCGATTCGATGTAAACGTGCGAACATTCATATAAGTCGGTAATCGACGCCTGCAGACTGCTGACCCGCTACCCGGAGCTGTGCCGGCTGTTCCGCAAGTTCATGACCCTACGCGAGGACGGCAGCTACGAGTGGGACATGGAAGGGCTGCAGCGGCACGCGCTGCTCGTCATGCAGGGACTGGAGGCGGCCGTCGAGAACCTCGATGACAGCCGCGTACTCGCGGACATCCTCTACGAGCTGGGCAGAAAGCACGCCCGCTTCAACGTCCAGGAAGACATGTTCGACGTGAGTACTTGTGCTCCGCACTGTATAGCCCTAAGACGTGGGCATAGCTCTATAGGTACAGAAAAACTTGCGCGTATACAGAGGTCCACATACCCGTCTAGAATGCTCTATAGTAACGCGTTCTGGGCAACATTGGCGATGTCTACCGGCAACGCCTGTTTTGAGATAACACGCACGTAATTATGTATGAATGTTGGCATCGCTTGCGTGAAATTTTGCCACCTCAAACCGCGCGTTTCCGGTAGACGCCTCTCACGCAGACCTGTGCCCGGAATGCGTCGCTGCAGCGTCCTGAGAATTGTATCGAGCTCTTGAAATATATTTTTGTCACTGCTGCGGCCAGTCTTCGAACACCCAAACAATCAGAGGAAGATTGGGGGCTTGATGTCATGAGACAGCTTCGAACAGCGAACGACAGTTAAATGCCATTAAACAATATACATATGCTGGCCGCGCGTGGTCAGGGCACACGTCAGAATTATCCGAATTAAAAGGGGTTTAATTATTAGATGCGAAACAGCTTGTAGCAGAGTTCAATTCGGTCTGCGTAACCACCCTTACCACGCATGCGCAACAGCTGTCCATGCCAGTACTGCCAGAACGCGCTCACAGCGCTAGCGCGTTCCGGCCTGTGTAAGGGGCTGGGTGTAACTTCTCCTCCTTACACTCTCGCAGCAATCATGTGATAAGCGTTGGGGAACGAGATTCTGCAGACGCGTGATGAACCAACGCCTTGTATCCTATAGTTAGAAGGCGCTGACACGCGCTAGCGCGTGCGGCTCTGCGTAAGTGTCTGTGTAAAAAGCTTTAGCTTCTCCCCCTTAAATTATCTCAGGAATCACGTGATGGCGTTGGGGAACGAGGTTCTGTAGACTCGCGATGAAGTAACGCGTTGTATCCTAGCAAGAACGCGCTGGCACGCGCTAGCGCGTTCCGGCCTGTCTAAGGGGCTGTGTAAAACGCCGTGGCTTCTCCCCTTTACACTCTCTCAGCAATCATGTGATGGCGTCGAGGAACGAGATTCTGCGGACGCGCGTTGAACCCAAAGCGTTGCATCTTAGTCAGAAAGCGCTAGCGCGTTTGGGTCTGCGTGATTATGTGGCTGTATAAGAGGCTGTGGCATCTCCCCCTTACATTCTCTCAGAAATCACGTGATGGCGTTGCGGAACGAGATTCTGCAGACGCGCGATAGAACCCACGTGTTCCCGCGTGGCGTGGTGTGGCGTGACGATGAACCCGCGTGCTGTGCTTCAACAAGAGCTTCGGGACGAGTAACGGTAACAGAAGCGAGAGTGAATTTATGGTGTGCTTCCACTTGCAAGGACGCGTTAACATCGGACAAAGTGCCCGTGTTGAACGAAACTTTAAGTCGACCCATGCGCTGCTTGGCATGTCACTCATGGTTACCTTTAGTGGGAGACAGAGTAATCTTTCATATGCCTTCATGTATAGTGGGCTTATCGGCCAACGGTCCGCTCGGTAAATGTTCACGTGCTACGTGATGCCATCTGGGCCATCAGCAAAATAGTGTTCCATAGTCACCGTCATAGTTACGAGCGCCGCTGGCTAACACTCCTATAGGTTTGCATGTTCATAAATGCCCGTTTAGTGGAGGAGGGGAATGACCACCGCCGTAGCTCTATAGATAAGAGCATTCAGCGTGCTATTCGAAGGTTGCAAGTATAAGGTCCCTGCCGGCGGCAAATTGTCTTTTCGTACACTTTACTTTCTTCACATCTGTATCACAATGATTGCAATATGCTTGAAACAGTACAATTAATCCCCTACACATTCCTTGGCTTCATCGTCTGACATTTTTCATTAAGGCTGTCATGAGGCAAAAGAAGCGATCCCTCGAAATTTCATCCTTCATATGAGTAGGACAGAGACACTCAAGATGACCTCATACTCCATCTGGCGTGACTCTCTTGCAAGGGCGAAGGACAGCTCAACACACTGAAATGTGGGTCGAGCTTGTGCTGCAGATTCTTGTTGCTAAGGCATTTAAAAAGAATGCTGGCGTAGAGGCTCTCGCAATATCCTACAGGCAAAATTGAAGTCCTCGCTTGCCCACGCTTCATCTTGGAAGCTTTGCTCTTCCCGAGTATAGTGCCCGCTTAGTGATCTGATCTGTCAATGTGAGCGCTAGGTCGATTCCAAACTTGAGCAGCTTCGCTTTAGTGGTGCCGTGGGCGTCCTTTTTCGTTTCTATTTTGTGTTTCATTTGTTTCTACCTCCTTTTTTTTAATCTTCGTCTTAATTCTGTCTGATCTTTGTGCTCATTTCATCTCTCTATTTCTTTCTTTCTCTTTTTTTCTCTTTCTACCTTTATTTCTCGATATGTTTCGCTCTTTCAGATTCTTTTCATGCTATGCATTACTCTATCCCTTTGGCCTTTTCCTCTTCCGCTCACTCACACCTTTTCTCACGCTTATTTCGGCTTCCCACCCTTGCTATACTACACTGTACTGCACTGTACTGCACTATACTATACTATACTATACTATACTATACTATACTATACTATACTGTACTATACTATGAAACATCTGTAAACCGGGGTTGTGTCAAGCCGACGTTGGACAAGCGGACTTGTCTTCCTTTGAGGAAGACAAGTTAACTTCTCCAAACGTCGGCCCGACAAATTCCTGTTTACGGATTTTTCATCGCAAGCTTTCATCTTTCACTTCCTACCGTATTTTATACTATACTGTACTATATTGTTCTGTACTGTACTATGTGAAATGAGGCTATGCTACGCTCTGTCGCGTGCCTGGATAGCCGAGTGATTAAGACGCTCGCCTTCGTATCGTGGGTGCACGGGTTCAAATCTCTTCTTTCCAACAAACTTTTTTTTTTCCTACATGAATTTTTCTGTTTCTCTCTCGTCCCTTCTCTCCCTCTGTACTCGTTCTCTCTGGGTTGTTGCATTCCACTAAGGACCGATGGATGCATGTGTGAAGAGGACGAAGAGAACGATCATTTCTGTTTACTGTTCACCAGTCACCATAGTTTTCGGATGCTTCCGAGAGCTAAAAAATTGTCATCACAAAAAAAGAAGCACGAAAAAAAAAAAAGCTGTGCGACTTTCGTGAACATGCCCAAAAGGAGCGTAAATTCAGTTAATTTTCCCATTCTTGAAGATATTGTTACGGGGTGCCACAGATGAACTCGATATAAGGAAAAAGACGATGTTTGGTCTCTCGTGCAGACTGGGCTCCACCTTGAATACGCCTGCCTGTAAATCCGTAGTAAATATGTTCTCGAACGCTTTTCTCCCCTTAACATTTTGCTGGAGGTGCTGGGTCATGGGGTCGAGTCAGAACGACGGTGCGGTTAGTGACGGCTGGATGCGGTGCTGTTGATTGCTGCGCGCTTGGGCGAAGCATAGTTGGTGAAGTTCTCCATTAATTCTCGTTCTAGTCGCCATCAGCCATCGCAGAGGCAGCCAAGGAGCGTCCGCTGCGTAGAATTGTCGTGGATGTTGATTATTGGAGGCCCCGCACTCTCCTCCAATATGTTACGGGGAGAAAAGCGTGGAGAACTAATATCTTTAATTATTATAAAAAATGCCCCTCAAATGCGACGGGAATTTGAAAAATCATTTTAATTATTTTGTAGGGAAAAAATACGAAAGCAAACATCTACCTTTTTTACATTATTTTTAGCGTCGTGTTCATTCCTTTGAATGCAAGTTTGCCAGTGCATGATTAACCTTACTTGTTTAATTTCCCAACTTATGCTTGAATTCAACAATCAACTACTCCAACACACCGACAAATTGCTATTAGTGGAACATGATGATCGCTATAGATAACCACATTTGCTGAAAAGCTCGAGTGAGCCCCCCCCCCCCCCAAAAAAAAAAAAAAAAAAAAACGTGGCAAGAGACTGGAAACTTCAACAAGCGACTCGGCGAAAAGGGAAAACCCTAATCCGCTTTATCTATTAAACCGAGGTTTTCTTGTTTTTGCATATCGCGACGTGAATTAATATGGCCATGAAACATCGTACGCCCACACTCACCCGTTTTCGTGCATATGCGCCTACACTGTTAGTTTAGTTGTTGAAGACGCAAAATATTAACAGCCTAATGTGGAGTCACTGAAACCCATCCATAAAATAGTCTGTAAGCGGAACCCGCAACTCTGTCCATCGCAGAGCAGTGCTCGTTTCCAGCAGCTCCGCAGTTAAAATAAGAGCTCGTTGTGGTGATTAAGCGTTATTTATTGCCCACAGAAGGGGTCCGGAAGGACAGTTGGCTAGGCGCCATGGCTGTTCCAGACGAAAGTAAAATGTCGAGAGGATCAAGTATCGATGACTTGATCTCACTCTTGAGGCATGATTTGCACCGCAGCAATTCTTATGAAAGATCCTTGGTTGTTACCGAGTGTGAGGTTCACTAAGGTCCACAAGTTCGGCAACCATAATGGCTGGTCTTAAGGCTCGACGTTTTACCGCGTTTTCAGGGCTGCCAGTGTTCAACCTTATCTATGCTCGCGCTGTCTCCAAACTTTCGTCTCGACAGCCGCCCCGCTGTGACTATTTTAAATATACGCACGCATCAAACGATGTGGAGGACTCGAACGAAGCTTTGATGAACGCCGAACAGGTGGCGCTGTCAAAATATTTATTCACGGTCGCAGCGAAGATCTTATGGCGGCTCCATAGAAAGGCAGTTGACGCAACGGTATAGTGTGCGATCCCGACGTCTCTGCGCCTCGCGCCCAGTGCGGTTTCAGTGCGCTGAGTCGCTTCGATCGAGTTTTCATCGCCCCGTCTCGTAGTTGCGTGCAGTGAGGCGAGAGGTACCTATAAGGGCGCTGCGTAAGACCAACCAGTAAAACAGACCTCACGAGCAATGCTCGATCTTCCACGTTCAGCATCTCAAGAAGACTCCCGCAGTGCGATCATTGCACTGTTTTTGCAGCTGCTGGTTCGCTCTGTCTTCCACTGGCGTAGCCGGGGGGTCATTGGCAGATGTGGGGATGAGAAGTTCA